CGTGGAGAAGGTGTTTGTCGCGCCACGGAGGGTCTTCACGACGTGGAGGATGTGCCCGTCGCGCCGCGGAGGGTCTTCACGCCGCGGAGCTGTTGCAGGTACTCTGAAGGTCAGTCACGAGTTCGTCGCGCCGCGACGCGGGCGCGACAGCATGCATGGCTTCACGTTTTGAGCTCGTTTGGGCTCGTTCAAACTCGGAATTGACTTCTGTTTTATTCTACGCGTAGCTAACGAACTCCTCTATTCAATGATGCTTGCAAACCACACTTTTGCCCATAATACAAATTTTATGGAATTTTCAACCATTAAAGGGTCGGTAGTTTGCTAGACTTTACGTTTTTGGTTCGTACGACTTCGTTTGAAGCCGAAATTGAATTTCGTTTTTTTTCTCATGCGTAGCTGACAAATTTCTCTATCAACCACAAGTCATCGTCTCAAAATATTATTCGAATGATTCCCCGTCGGATTTTTGGACCTACACACCATCAACGCGCAAAATAGAGGAAATAGAGAAAAATAATCGAAATAATCTATATACGACACGAACAAAAGAAAAACACTCAATACACTATTAATTGCATGAATAATGAAATAAACGACATAAAATGATACAAAAATAACGACAGAACAATAAGAAAAATCACGACAAAAACGGTACAAACAGAATGATGTCAATGCCAGTTGTTATTGTCAGAAATAGGGCTGAGCATGGGACTCGGAGTGTTCCGAACAATTCTGAAAACCGAACCAAAATTACTCCGAACCAAAAAAATAACCGTTGACCGTTTGACTTTCTCCGAACCGAACCGAACCGAAAAAATAATTGGTACGGTTTTGGAGATTTCATAAATATTCGTACCGAGAAGCGAACCGAACCGAACCGTCCCCTACCGTACCGAACCGAATAACCGAAATTAAGAACCGAATATAACATTAAATGTGTTATTAATATATTTTATGTCAGATCCTATATGATTTAGTAATAATAACTATTAACCTTCACTTAACTTTCATGCTTAGTAATACTTGATCTACAATTGAATTTTTCTATTATAAAATAATTATTTAAAATAATATGAAAGATTAAAGAATATTTTTTTAGAAAAAAAATACATTATATTTTGTTTCAATTTTAAATTTTCAATATTAGTTGCACAAATTTAGTCTTAACTAAAAATTTAGAGTTACTTCTAAAGTTGATTTCAAAATAAAATTTTTAATATGAGGAAGTATTGATGTATGTTGGTTTTATTAAAGCATATAAAATTAAATAAAATTTTATAGTTACTTCTAAAATTGATTTCAAAATAAAATCTTCAATATGATGAATTATTGATGAATGTTATTTTTTTAAAGCATATAAAATTAAAATATAACTAGGTAGTCATTCAAAAAAAATCTAATAAAAAGAAATCTCTGAAGATCCGAACCAAACCATACCGAACTGTACCGTCCCAATAGTTCCGAATACCAAACCAAACCGAAAAATAAAAATCTTCGAACCGAACCAAACCGACTTTTTGTTCCGGTTCCGGAGATCGAATTTTGGGATCTCCGAACTTTGGTACGGTTCCGGAGATTTATCAATCTCCGAACCGTACCAACCCACGCTCACCCCTAGTCAGAAATATGGGGTTTGAATATGTAGTGAATTTATGTTTATATCCTAAAGTGACTCGGTTTACATATGGGGTTTGAATATGTTGTTTACATGTGGAAAATATGTGGTGCAAATAGTTTGATGCATTGTTCTGTTTATATTTACCACCTCCGACTGCGATAACGCGGCTTGAAGAAGAGTATTCGTAAAAAAGTATTGCTTGAAAAATTGTTATCTTTTACTTGTGAGTTTATAGTGGTGGGTCTTGAAAAATTGTTATCTTTTCCTTGCGATATCTTGTATGTGTTTACTTGTGATTTTGAATCATTTGAAGTGGGTTGTGTCCATTATACTTTTTTTTTTTTTAAGAGTTTGACTCCTAGGCATGGGTTGTTGGGTGACTTATTTGTATGGATACAAAAAAAATAGTTAAATCTGCATAGTTCTTACCATCAGACTTTGTCATCTACTGAGTAATTACAAGTTCAAGTATTCAAATACCTACTTTAGTTTTTTTTCTTGGAATTCTTATAAATGATTGAAAGCCAACGCAGGCATATCAGTGCAACATCTGATGGTTTGCATTGAATTGTTGATTCTGTTATAAGGGCAGTATCCTCCATTATAACTTTTATTGGTCATCTTTGAAATTAAACTCATTCTTGAAATTTTTTTCATGTGCATAAAAGACATAAATAATAGTAGATACTTTTTTTTTATTTAAATTGTGTCATGTAACTCTGCAGCAGTTGCATGCAAAATATGTGATAGAAAAGAAGATATTTGCCTCTATACTTGGTTCTTTTTCATGTCTTTGCTTTATAGTTTGGAGGTATGTACCTCTGTACATTAGAGTTTTACATTGATTCTATATTTTTTAAAATCTGTTAGTTGAACAATTTTATTCTATTTTTTAAAGTAACTGGTAATCGTTTATAAATAAGCAGCGTAAGTGGATCCCTTGGTTGGTTTAGCATAGTTGGTATATGATACAACCACGGCTAGTACTGTCGGCTCGACCGGTAGTATCTGATATAGCATGTCATACCCGACCGATTTTTATGGATATATATTAAAGAATACGCCTATACATGGGCTAAGACACTTTATATGATAATATGGGCCACGCCCAACCTAGACCAAACCCAACTTGGACTATAAGGTACACTCCCCCTATAAAAAGGGGGATAATGTACTCATTTCAGGGATTCTTTAATCATTCTCCCTCTCTCTCTCTCTCTCTCTCTCTCTCTCTCTCTCTTTACATATATATACACACTTTCATATGGATACAGTACTGACTTAAGCATCGGAGGCCCGAAGCCGGGCACCCCTCCCAGAATCCCCAACTTTGGGTTCTTGCAGGTACGGTGGCCGTCCGAGTCGAGGGAGCCCGAGTGACATCTTTGTCCTATCATTTGGCGCCATATGTGGGAACCGTTCGAGAAGCCAAACGGTGTCCCGTCTG